TGATTTATTTGGTTCTTTATATTTTTGAGGTTTATTTTGATTGTCTTGCTGTTTTTGTCTACATTCAGAAATACTATGTCCGTATCGTCGGCAATAATTACACCATTTTTTGAAAGATGGTTTGCCTTTAAAGTTTGGGTGTTTTTCGTAAATATTGAGTATTTCAGTGATTTTTTCAACGAGGTCTGTATCTGATTCCTGTATATTGTTGATACTTGTGGTATTTGTTTCGATTCGGTTAACATATTGTAATTTCAGATTTTCTGTTTCTTCGAGTTTCATTGTGATTTCTGCTTGTTCTAGTTTGTCTACTAGTTTTCGAAAATCTAAATCGGGTTCTCGAATTGAAGAAGGATGGGATGCTCTCTTTTTTATTGCTATTTTTCTTAATTGCGGTGTTAAGGTCATCATTAAGATTTCTGTCATCTTTGTGTTTTTATAGTCGTGTGTATTTAATGAATATGCTTTTCGAACTAGTGTTTCGATGCGTACTGCTAATTGCTTGATGGTTTCATTTGGTAATCTGCGAATTTCATTACATAAAACTCTTTGTTGTTGTTTGTTTCTTTCGGAGTCAAACATTTTTGAAAATTCTTGTGTAAACCTTTTCCAATTTGATTTTATTTCTATAGGCAATACTGAAAACCATTTTTGGGCTGCGCCGTCTAAAGTTGTTTGTATCAACGCTGTGCGTCGATGTATCCAGTTTTGATGTAGTGGCGTATTAATTGGTTCAGGTCCTATATTTAAAATCAAATTTGCTGTTACTGCATTTAAATAGTCTTCTACAGAATATTCAGGGTCTGTTCCTGTGAATACCATTAAAGGTTTATTTGATGTTATTGATGATCCACCCATAAGGTATGGATTCATTGTCATTTGTAATGATTCTGCTGCATTTGGCATTTGAGAAAAATTTGAAAGTTGATTTCTTGTTATTTCGTGTTGTTGAAGATAATATGGGAGTGGTATTTCATTTTGCATTTGTGTCGGTTGATACGAGTGTGTGATCATTGGGTTTTTTTGCTGAATTGGTTGAAAATATTGTGTATCAATTGGGTTTTGTTGTTGAATTGGTTGTTGATTTTGTGTATCTATCGGTTGTGGAGAAAAAATTCTATGATTTGTATGTGGTTTCTGTACACCTTGTCCACGATATTCTTGATTATATGGTGCAAATATATCTGGTTGTAAAAAATCATCATCTGAGGATAAGTAATCCATTTGATAAGATGTTTGTTTTTTATTTTTATTTTGTTGAAAAAATGGATAGTTTTCACTACGATCCTGTGAAGGATGTAAATTTGTTTGAAAATTTACTGAATTAGTTTGTGCTATTGGGTTATCCCAGTTTCGAGATCTTGTATAATTACTAAAATTTTTTCGTGGGGGATAATTTGTTTTTGATGGATGTGTGTAATTATAATTATGGTCTGTAAAATTGTTTCTAGTGAACGTTTTACGTGTTTTTGACGGTATTGTCATGGGTCTGTATGTTTGATAATCCATGTGTGAATATTTTGGGGCAACCGAAGGTTTAACGGTTGATTGTAAGGTTACTTGTGTTTGTGAAGGGTTTGTATTTCTTGGTGTTGTTAAATTTGGACGTATTGGTGAAATACTTTGTTGTGTAGTTGTTGTGTGTACGATTTCTTCATTTATGAAGTGTGATGGTGTCTGGATATCTTGTTGAGTGAGATTTATAGTTCCATTGAGGTTTTCATTGTGTATGACTGTGGAGTTTAAACTATTATTTTGCATATCAGGTAAAAATGTATTATAGTTTAATGGTGTTGCATCAATGGTTAATGGTATTACTCTTACATAATCTCTTACATAAGATATCGTACTTATTGCTTGACTTGAGATTGATTGTGGGAAGTTTATGAATGCGGGATGAGACCATTCGGGGTCCCAAACATAGTCTGATTGTTCTGTGATGGCAGTATCATCGTTTGAGTTTTGGGGTCTAAAATTTTTTCTTGCTTGTGAAATTAAATCAATATTATGTGTGAAATAATCTATTATGAACCATGCCAAAATTTTTTGTAAGTCGTGTTTTGTATGTTGTGAAACTTCATCTTTCGTGAAATTTTCTTTAATTATATTTAGAAAACTAGAGAGTAGTGTGATTTCATGTCGTACTTTTATATGTTTAGATGTTTCTGTCGGTGAGACATTTGGTATCTGGATTTCGTTTTCTAATATCGAGATATAACTATATATTATCGCAAAAACTTCATTGGTGAATATGGAGTTTGCTCTTTGTGAGTTATGATATTGGATGCTTTTTATATATTCTGAGAATACTTTTGAGAATTCTAAATCAAGGTCGTCTGTTTGAATTACATATTTGCTGTGATTCTGGTTTGGTGAGTTGAATTCTATGGAGTAGATTCCGTATTGTTGTGTTAAGTTACATATATCTTTCAAATAGTGATCGATAATTTGTCTTTTGATTTTTACATCTGGGAACTCTGTTTTACATGGACTGATTCCGGGTTCAAACAAATTTAAGAGTAAATTTTTGCAAAATATATGCTGTCCTCTATCAGTGGTTGCATCTACGATAAAGGGGAAGATATCATCATCATCTGGACTTTCTTCACCTGGGGTGTGTGTTGAGCTCATTTTTTCGTTTGATGACTGTTAATATGTAATTATCAATGTGTCTAATTGGTTGGTTCCAATTGTATAAATGTACTGGTTTGTGTTTATATTGCTTTTTTATTCTTCTTTTTCCTCTTTTTGATGAATTTGAAGTTGTTTCTGAGTCGGAAAAATATAATTGATCGTGAATGGGGCAATTTTTATCTATAGATTCCTTTAATTTATAAAGTTCGTCTAAACTGCTGGTTTCTGATTCTGAAAATGCGTTGCGGTTTTTGGAAAATCTTTTTCGTGTAATTTGTCTTTGTTTGGTTATTATTTTTCTTTTTAGTGTTTGTCGTTTTGTTCTGATATATCCAACTGTTTGTGTGTGTGTGGTGTGATTACAAGATCGTATTTTTTGTTATCTATTTCACAATTGTGTAAAACGATTGTTTGTTTATTTCCTAGGTTTTTAAATGACATAAGGTTTAGGATGACGGATGCAAAAGGTTGTTAAATGATTTCTATTACTTAGACTGTTAGTCCTTACGATTTTTTGGTTAGCCTAACCTGGGTCTATTTGTTCAGGGTTGGGGAGAAAAGTATATCGATTCCGAAGAATGATTTTATACTTTCTCGTGGCTAGTATAAGCTAAGGTGTTAACTTACTTAATCTTACTTAAGGGTAGTGATTGTGTTCAAGGGTTGGAGAATAGTAAATCGATCCACAAGGTTCAGGTATAATTAGAACGCGAGTAGTTCGTTAGATACTATTTTAAAACTTACTAAGTCTAAGATTTATCCTGGGTCTGGTAAGAGGGGGGATCAAGTGAAGGATGAATAACCGAAGTTCTTCACTGTTTATCCTAATTTGAATGATTAGTTTGTTTAAAAATTTCTATTAGTCCTGGGTTTTTAGAAAGGGTTGGATAGTGAATCGACGTTTGAGGTCGTTAGACACTAGCTAAGTGGGTGGGGGAGAACAAAATTGTTCTTTTTGATCCAAGGAGAGGCCTTGATGATCAAGTTTTAAATTTAATTAAGTAGAAAATGATTTAAGATCCAAGGATAAGCCTTGATGATCTGATTTTAAAATTAAGTGAATTTAAGTTTTAATAATGATTTAAATTTGTGTAGAGAAAAGATTTAGTGTTTTTATGATATTAGTGAGCTTATGAATGCTGTTATGTTCAGGTGATGAAGCTGGAACAACAGGATGATTTATAATTACTAACCATTTATTGTCATGCTACTAATTTTTATTTTGATTTTTCAATAAATATTTTTCAAACATGTTTTGTATATTACTGCAGAATTTAGGAAAACGATCTGAGATCTCCTTATCAATCGTTATTGTATATTAATAATTTGGTTTAGCGCCTGAAATGATTTTGAAGATTGACTTCAAGATTTTATGTTTGCAAATGAAAATCTAAATTCATTGCTAGTAGTATTCTAAATACAAAAGTTTGTGTTGGCTTTTGCCGAACTATCATATAACTATAAGGTAAGTTTCTACTTTGTCGTATGTCGTCTCTGGTTCGAGGTCTTCTTGCAATTCCGGGTAGTTCTGTTATCGTTCGGAATATTGGCTCTGATCTATTGAGTCGTAGAGACATTTCGATTAAATTATTGTCGTATAACATTTTGTAAATGTTTTGTCTAAATTCTAATCTATTATTGGTTAATTCTAAGCTATTAAGGTCTTGTTCGAGACTTATGGTCGCACCAGATGAGTTAGGACCAAGGTGTATAACTCATAGAGTAATTTCGGATAGGGTACACCGTCTGCTCGTCACGCTATCTTATTTTCGGCCGGATAGATTCGTGCAACTTCTTAGTCTAATACCAATCCTAATCTTACTCTTATACTATCTAGTCTCAGGTTGTTTAACTAGTCTCTGCTATGCTCAATAGATCTAGGGTATACTGGTTTATTGCGGTTGCTGAAGTCTTCTTGGAGAGTCAACTAATTTCTAAGTTAAATTCAAATCTCTCTGGTGCTGAAATTACAAGTAATTTCAGCACTTACAAATAAGTGGATTGTTAGTTAGATGGATTATGATTGGTTAATATTAAATACTTTACATTGGTAAAATATCTAATTTATCCAATCATAAAATGTAGTTTAGATCAGGTTCCAGAAAAGTTTTTAAACTTTTTTTTACGATTTTGTTTTGTTTTTCTAGTCATTTTTTGACTAAAATTGTTGTCCATCTTGCCAGTTTTTCAAAGAGTGTCGAATTGGTTTACGTTTTAGGATAGGATTTCGTCTAATATTTTTTATCAAACCACGTGCCAAAAAAAACGACATTCAATTGAAAAAAACTAATTTTTTCAAGAATATAGTCTGAACATTCTGTACTACTTGCACACCAGCCGGCTAACCTTGTTTTTCTATTGCTTAGGTTAGCTCCAATACAAGCTCTCGGATTTTGAAGAGCGATTGTGGAGAGAAACAACATCATGAACCATGTAAGGCACTTTTTTGTTTTCTGTGTTTATTCAAACGGAAAGTTTCTTCAAAAACTGCGAAACTAGAAAAATATTTTTTCGAGCGATTTTACCAAGGCCTTGTTTGCTATCTATATCTGCTCAAATAGAATCTACTTGCATTTCAAACCGAACTCCCGTAGCAATTATAACCCCATAAGATCTATTTTCTTAAACCCATTTTAACAAATCTTATTTTGCAGGCAAGGCTCTCTTCAATCTTCTGAACTGGTCTGACTCAGCCAGTGGAGCCAGTGTTCTAGTTTTGTCCATCGTGTGTCTCTGTGTCTGTCTGGTACTCCTCGTAAAAGTACTCAGGTTGCTCTTCTCTCACTACATTTCGGACATCATCAAGAAAACTGTCAACTCACAACTGCCGAAACCATTCGGATTCCTTACAGGTGAGTAGGAAACTTCGATTCAATCTAGGAAAAAGTAAGTGCAACAAAAGTACTGTTTTTTTTAAAGATTCTCTAAAAAACTGGTGTTTCAAAATTTTTATTAAAAGGTGCCGTAATCAGCTGTTTATGTTATAAAACATACTCCATATTATACTCGAAATACTCAAAAAATATTTCAAAGTTTTCAATTTTGTCTAATTTCCGTCGATATTTTTTTCAGAGTGCCTGATCTTTATTGGCGAATGGAGAGTGTTTTTTCTGACCCTTTTTGAATACCTCGGAGAAATCTCACAGAGATTCAATTGGGGATCAGCTTGTCAACTGTGATTTAAATTCCAAAAAAAAATCGAAAAAGCTTCAATATCGAAAAAAAATATCGTTTTCAGCCTGAACTTCCAGTCTAATTCTTGTGGAAATCTTAAAACATTTTAGCGATTATTATTTGATTCTTCTGACTCATCTATCAAATCTTGTCAAACTAAAATCAATTATTTTTCCGTTTTTTGACTTTTCTTGGTCTCATATTTTTCAAAAAATAGGAAAGTAGGGAACTTACTCTGCTAGTAACCGGGTATCCTTGCTCAGCTATGCTTTCAAAATTGTTCATTGTCTTGTCATCAACTTTCCTTAATTTTAGGCTATGTGGCTGCAATCATTGGCGCTCTTCTGACAGTGGTCATCCAGAGCAGTTCCATCTTCACTTCCACCCTCACCCCTCTGGTTGGAATCGGAGTCTTGGAGTTGGAGACAATCTTCCCCCTCACCCTGGGATCCAACTTGGGTACCACTGGAACTGGGATTCTGGCAGCATTCGCCAATGAGAACTTGAATGTTTCGCTTCAGATTGCCTTGTGTCATCTGTTGTTTAATCTCAGTGGTTTCATTTTATGGTACCCTGTGCCTCTTCTTAGAAAAGTAAAAACCCGCTTCAAGTTTTTCATTTTCTTAAAGTTTTTTCTTATGTGCTTGAGTTTGTTTCGAATGCAGTGCGTGATAATAATTATTTTAACGAAGTAACAGCCAATTTTAGTACAGCTATCAAAAAGCTCTTTGATATAACTATTTTATGAGAAGTTTTTGAAATTAGCATGAGGAATTCGTCTCAAGGCATGAAAAATTGCTCAAGACTTTTTGAAACTTTTGAAAATAACTATGCACTTTTCAATCTCTCAAATTTTTCAAACTACAAGTGTTCAGAGAGAAAAAAATTTTTTTTTTTTTTTATACTGTATTAAATATGTTTAAATTGATTTGATGTACAAATTGATGTTTCAGCTCCCTCTCTGGCTGGCAAGACAACTGGGCAGAATAACAGCCGACTACAGATGGTTCGCCCTGGTCTACCTCATCGGCATGTTCCTAATTGCACCCTCTTTTGTCTTCCTTCTCTCATGGGCGGGAACTCTAACTCTCTACTGTGTCGGAGGACCTTTAGTTGCATCGATTGCTGTAATAATATTTGTCAACATAGCACAGAACTCAGAAAAGTCGAAGGGATACTTGCCGACGTTTCTCAAGACTTGGGATTTCCTGCCGATGTGGCTAAGATCGCTGGAACCTTACGACAAAATGATCAAATCCATAAAACATGTTCTGAAAAAAGAGAGCAATAAAGAAAGTTTCATGACGTCTAATTTTCCTGCTTATGATAAAACTAGCTGTGATGAAAACTTATAGGAAAATACTTCGTTTTATTATTGGTTATCAGTCAAAAAAGAGAATATTTTTTGAAAAAATTATTGAGAGATTTTATCATTTCTGGAAACCACAATAAGAAAAAATTATTGAGAGATTTTATCATTTCTGGAAACCGCAATAATAATATAAAACGAATGAGAATTTCATTGGTTTTCTGCACATTGCTTTGAAAACCAAAAGAACCCTTTTCTCATTAAACATCATTGGTTTTTTTTTCACTTAAATTTTTCACTGAAAATATTGAATCCATCTGGTTTTTGTTTCATCCGTAAGAGCGAAGCTTCATTTTTAAAGCTAAGCACAAGGTAGCTAACTGACGTCGAAATGGGAATGTCAAATGATATATGAGTTTCAAGCATTCTATGAAAAGCGGTCATGAAAATAACTGTACTTGAACTTTAAATTAATTTGCGACCACTGCTGTCGGAAAACTTAGCTTGCATTTTTTTGTTTTATGTGCAAATGAAAACCTTTCTGTTAAAAAATAAATGGATGATTTCCAGGTTATAAAAAAAATATTTTGAGTTTTATGAAAATCTTGTTATTTTTTTTGTTGTGATCATCGAATTTGAGAATAAACTTTGAATTTTGATTTTTTGACACTGAAAATCGAATAAGGTATCACCAACCCCCTGAGCTAGTCGACAAACATCATTTGAAGTCCTATCAATTTTGATTCAGTTTGCAATAAAAATTCAAAACATGGCCAACAGAAAAAAAAAACAATTGAATAGTTTTGAAAAAGTGGTAAAAACGAGCCTGCTCGTATCAGGAAGAAGCCCTGTACGTTCCGACTACATTTTACGGTCTATGAAGCAGTGTTCGCTTTAAAAACAAAGTGATGAATGTTTCAAAAAAAATGAAAGAAGTTTTTTTTCCATATATTATTGAAGACCAACCCCACCTACTCAAGCTATGTAAAGTACAAAAACAACTATTTCGCATACAGCAAAGTAATAATGAGACTAAATAGCATGCCTCAATCCAATTTGAAACGATTTCTAAGACGGATGAAATCCCCGCTTACGCGTTTATAGCACGAAATATAACGCGCGTTAGTTGTCCCAAATTGGCCAATATGGCCATATTGGCAATCTTTAAACCCCCAAAATTTCAAGAAAATGATCAATACTGCATTTTTTTAAATTTGAGCTCAAGACAAAAAACCGTTTCAGTGGATTCAAAAATTCTGCCAGAAATTTTCAATTAAAAATTTGAAATTTTTCTGGAGAAAGAACCACCCCGAGCCCAAACATTCCATCCTTTCTTGTCAAATTAAACAAAACTGCTCGTATCAGGGCAAAGCGCTGAATGTTCCGACGCCCTCTTAAGGTTTATGGAGCAGTAATAAAAAAAAATTGTAATAAAAAAATTTGAAAATTTTTATGAAAATCATCCCCCCCCCCACACGCCATGTAAATTACAAAAAGATAGATTTTGCTCCTTTTAACGAATCAACTATGGCAAATGAGCTTCCTTCAACCAGTTTGGAACAATTTCTAAGACGGATTAAATCTCCGCTTACGCTTTAATAGCGCAAAATATATCGAGCGTTAGTTGTCCAAAATTGGCCAAAATGGCAATTTTAATCGCCCATAACTTTACGAAGAATTATCACAGGCGTACTATCTTTTCAAGTTTAAGCTCAGGACAACAATACCTTTTGAATGTTACATTAAAAAAAATCCGTCAAAATGGCTAGTTAAAAATTCGAAGTTTGTCTGAAGTAAAAAACCCACCCTGAGCACAAATATTCCGTTACTTTCGTATCGAAAGTCGGAACAAAAAATAAAAAATCAAACAGCAAAAAACAAAATTGAACAAAAACATATTTTTTGAGTTTTGCCGAACAAAAGCCAACAAGTTTTAAATGAGTGTTTTTGCTTCATTCAATGAAGTTTTTTATTGGAAACGGCTCGATGCTGCGAAAAAGCAACCTGTGTATTTTGGCGTGTCATACTATCAAAATTTGACATTAAAGTGACATCTGTCTAATGATATTTTAATGTTATTAGAGCAGATAGAGAGACAAGACTGCTCGTATCAGGGCCCTTTAACTGGTCTCGAATCGTTTTCGGTATAAGAAATATTGACGAACTACAAAATTAAGGCTGGTACTATCAAAGTGTTAATATTTGAGACGTTTATGATATTAATAAGACCACTTAGCTTACCTCAATTCAATTTTCAACAACTTTGACTGCGGATAATATACCGCGCATAAATTTTGAACATAGACCAGTAATGACGTTTATAGGATTTTTTGGGTTGTTTCCCGAAAAATTGTTTTTTTTTGGCGCGGGCTCAAATTTATTAATGAGCGGACTGGAAATAATTTAGTCGGTATGATGAAGGTGGGGGAGAAGCAGTTGGCTAACAAGATCCATATTATCAATCACACTTTATTTTGAATTTCTATTTTACCTCCCAGACGCAACATTTCCTTCGGAGCAGCGTTTTCTTCCGGCGAGTAGTAGATGGCTGGTGGTTTCAAAAAGACAGTATCAGCCAAGTCAGGTTCCATTCCCTTCCACCAAAAATTCCAGAAACAGTCGTTCAGTACTGGGTTTGTCGTATGTATAGATCGGAGAGCAAAAAAGTACCTCCTCTGTTTACAAATAGAGTTGTTATGATATCCTGCTAGAAAGTACAACATAGGAGATTTAGACAAATTTCCTTCTGGAATTTCCCGGTAGAAATCAGGAGCCCAACCGGAGTTCTCAATTGCCCAATCAGAAGACTCTGTCACTGCTCCGAAATTAAACCACGAAGTCTCGTCCGAGCTGTTGCCGTTAAAAAGGACTTCCTTCACAATGTTCACACCTTCCATATCAAATATCTGAATTCTAATCACATTTGAATCGTTCAGTAACTGCATTATATTAGGGTAAGGTAGAAACGAGACTGGTCGGGTGTCGGAATCATATCATGAGCTGCTGAAGTGTTGCCATATTGAAAGAACTGATACAGTTCAATACCGCAGAAAGCGTCGGCTGAAACAGTTTGCCAAACGATCCCTCGACCTGTAGCATGCAATTCGATTTTAATCGATAGTGCAAAGTTTTTAGTGAAATTACCGTTTGGTTCCATGCTGTAAAAGATTTTGCAAAAATCGGTAGTTTTCTTGTCTATAGAACAGTGGCCATCATAGCTACAAGTTATTAACATCAAACCGATAGTTTTTAAACAATCGGAACCCTGTAAAATCTTACCTTTCCAGGCCAAATTTTTGCCGTAAGCTTGGAATTCTGCCATAGGCCAAAATTTTCTTTCGGATATATTCCATGATGATGCATATTCCACTAGATCAAACCAAAACCATTCACTAGGAGAGCCGACAGGATTCTCGGATTGTTTGAAGGATATTTTTTGGGCCACTGAATCATTTTGGTCATAAACCATCAGATTTAAGTGCGTGTTTACAAAAGACGTATTTTTGAAGAAATAGTTGAAGTTATGGTGTCTATACGTACTGCTTTCTGAGACAGATTGCCCATACAAGAAGAACTGTTTTGTATGTGAAAATATGGATAGCTGGAAATGTTAGAATCTCAACCATTTGCTCCCAAGTTGCGTTTCAAATCTCATGGAAAACGTTTTGCAAGTTCACTTGAGTTTTTCCATCGCACAGTTGAATCGCGGGTTCGAATACAAATTTGACTGGTACGCAACTTGCGCTGTTTATATTTTGTTCCAAGTCTTTCGATCTGTAATTAACTTCATCATTTATCTTTTTATTTTTAAATCCAGCAAAAACCGGTTCAAATCCAAATAAGGATACGTTGTTTTGTATCGAAACTGGAGACGCCATTTGAAAGCTCCCACTCTCTTTGAGTAAACTCCCATATGACATGCCCATTTCAGATCTTCAATCATTTGGGACTCCGAATTGATCGAAAACAGCAGACCGCAATGGAAAGATCGAAATGACCGGGCCATTGAATGTTTGAATAAATCGCAGTTTTGAGTTAGGTACTATGTACTGTACTCATAGAGTAATTTCAGATAGGGTACATCGTCTGCTCGTCACGCTATCTTATTTTCGGCCGGATATATTCGTGCAACTTCTTAGTCTAAAACCGATCCTAATCTTACTCTTATATCTCCTAGTCTCAATAGATCTAGTGTACACCGGTTTACGTGAGTTAGTTCCAGAATGAGAACAACTGTTTTCTAAGTTTATTTCAAATTGTTCTGGTGTTGAAACTACAAGTAGTTTCAACTCTTGACAAATAAATAGGTTGTTAGCTTGATGGAGTATGATTGGTTAGTAGTTAATATTTTATAGAGATAAAATATCATAATAATAACCAATGATAAATACTAGTTTAGATCTGGTTCCACCCATCCGGGGTTTACAGAGTTTTAGTTTTCCAATGTTCTTCATTGTAGTGGATGATGGATGGTGGTGTTTTTTTAGAGGTTGCGAGCATATTGTTTTTTCTGGTTTGGACGAAGATTTGTCATTACGGTCATTTCGGGAGATCGTATCATGATTCTGATCAGTTGTGATGAGTGTTGATCTGGTAGATAGTAACATTGTTATTCTCACTCTCGTCTGGGAACGGCATGTGGTTCGTCTTTAGATGCAGTTCCTGGTGACTTGGATCTGTACGTATATTTGAACATCGAGATGGCCATTGTTCTGTTTGCAATGGGTTTCCTTTGCTGCGATGCCAAGTCGTACTTCAAATCCATTAAGTGTAGTGATTGTAGGCAGCAAGTCAGGTGGGTTTTGCCATTCCGTAGTTGGAGTGTGATTGGGTTGTCAAGTTCGTTGCTGCTCGTGTTTGGACTGTATATTATCTATATATTGCATTGTATTATTTACATATATAAATCTTTGTTAATCTTGTTTTTTAGTCATGATCTTGTATTAGTTTTTATCGCAAAAGCGTTATATTATTAAGTTCGGTTATTTTTAAGAGCTACTCACACTTGAGTAACTCCCGTCAAAAATAGTGTCGTCGGTGTCACAAAGCGTGTATGTAGCACGGTGGGTGAGGCCGGCTATAGAGCATGCTCAGGACGTCCTCTTCTGG